CACAATAAAAGTCGAAAAACTCGCCTATACACATTTACGATATCTTCGTAGCAATTGAAGCTATTTTCATAGGAAATCCTATATATGTGGCAAAGACAGTATTTCACAATCCGCACAAAAAAAATGATTGCATGATTTCATAGTAAGCCCAAGCTTTGACTTGAAAATTCACTTTATTTTCTGTTCGCAGTACTACTATGTACATCTAAGATTCTTCGTCGCGTATATTTATATTTCAGTAAAATATATTTTTCTTTTTATAACCATCAACGAGAGTGACAGAGGCGTATATTCATTTGGTCAAAACATTTGCTACACCCACAAGGAAGCTTCAAAAATCGCGTAAAGTATAGAAGTTCTTGCCTAATTTCAAAATCTTCTCGTCTGTCCGGCTGTCCGTCTGCCCAACGATGTAGTATTTATGGTAAAAATTCTTTCGTTTACAAAAATGAAAATATCGCATAGAAATTGGCGAAAGGATTTGAAAATGGCCTAAACTGATCAAGAGGCACACCCACATGCCTATGGAACAAAAGCGTTGAGCACTCTGACTTTCCGTTCACAATATACATTTGCAGTTTTATTCTAGGAAAAAAAAAAATTAGTCGCGCACACGCAATATTATAGGGTACGAAAATTTAGTTCTATTCCCTCTTTTTAGTTTTTTTTTTAGGGTCAGGATTATGAGTTTTAAAGTATCGGTAATGACCGACTACATTATTTTCTTACTTTTCCTTAATGAATTTTCACGCACGCCATACCTCTCTACCTTTTGTCTAATATTGTGCGGTCACATCAAGAGTTAACACGCAACAGTAATTCTACCGATTTGATATATTTACTTGATTACGGATTACCAAATTCGACACTATTCGTTTTATTAGGTTTTTAAATCTATGATTATAGCATAATTATTAGTGTAATAATATTGTTATACACGGCAGCACTTTTGACTTATGCACTTTTAAGTTTATACCGATTGATATGCGGTTAATTCAGATAGACCAACCGATCGATTTCCAATTAGTTTCTGAATTCACTTTAGCTTGTCGGTTCGTCTGTTTGTTTTCCTTGGATTCTTGTCTGCAATTCTTCAGATCGGACCACTCTTTCGACGACTTGCCATATAACGCCTTATTTGGAAACTTCATTCTATGAACAACTGTCGGTGGTGTAGAGTATTTAATGATAAACCGTAATCCACTGTAGTGTTTTCGTTTGTTTTTGCCTAAGTACAGAACAACAAATTTTGTTGTTCTTACATATAATTGCCGGAATTATAATAAATATATGTTATGTTAGTGTAAATGTTACTCGCTTGGGCCTTGCTCTCACATCTCTTTAAAACATCTGCAATAATGGCATTTACAAGATGCTTATCATCTCACGAGATAATGATGTTGGAAACCCTAACATCTACTTTTTATAATTATCTAATTCCGATATGAAAAACACTTAAAACTAAAAATATCTTTGCATTCCTGTGGCGATATGAAAGATATATAACAAAAACGAGCATTTTATACATTAACAGGTCACCGATAAAAGAAAGACAGCTACAGACAGATAGATAGATAGATAGATAGATAGATAGATAGATAGATAGACAGACAGACGGACAGACAGATAGACATAGGGAGAGAAAGACAGGGGGAGAGTGAGAGACAAGTTGGGAAATGAGAACATTAACCTTAGCAGGTAAGTATAAGTAGAAGAAAGATACGATGCTTAAGAGCAAAAACTTGGGCAGAGCAGCGGAAAACCTCATAAAAAACTAAAATATATTACAATAATGTGAAAACAAAACAAAAAAACTTTTGAAAAATAAAAAATGTTACAAAAGAATTTTTCGTAATTCAAAAACACGTATATACACTGGAAAAAAGTGCATTATCTTTTCACGCGATTAGTGAGTGGTCGCAAAATCCGTATATATCCGTTCGAAAGCGTTATATATAAGGAAGACAACAATCAGTTTTGAAAATCTCAAGAAAGCATTTGTTGTTATGTGCGTTAAGCTATGCAGGATATTTGAAACTTCCTCCCAGATCCGCGACTAGAAGGCTCGCTCGTATCAAAATGTTTACTTCATTGCAGATCATTACAATTTCAATTAATTACAGAGAGCCTTCGTTACTTTACGATGTAAGATTTTTAATGCTTACTTAACATACCTGTCGTTTCAGTGCACTAAGATGATCACTACACTACACTACACTACCACTAGAATATCTCTTTTTTTCTAAATTCGATAAATCAATTGATCCGAATCGAATCGAATCGTTGCTCCATCCATTCACAACATTACATTTACTATTCTTCCTACGCCTATAATCAATTAGCTGTATATGACGAATATATTCGCTATGATACGTTCATTACTCCTTGTCGGATTACCTCATATTACGTTGTCATTATGATTTGCCGATTTGCCGATGATAATGGATTTTTGTCATTTTTCTCAAGTAAACACCAAGTGCACGGTAAGGAAGTCGGCACAGTTAATTGGTTCAATGAATATTTTATCTACGTAACAACAAATTGATTAATGTCATTTAATGTATTTAAAGTTATATTTATTTATGTATTTTTTACATTAAAACAGATTACAATTTTCACGAATTTCTTTCAGTGTTCTATGCTTAATGCCAAACTTGTTTGAGAACATTTTTGAAATTCTTTTAATTTTAATTTTAGTGACGCGCGCGCGTCGTTGTCTTTTCTCATTAAATTTTCATCAAAATAGATAATACAATTTTTTAGAATATCTATTAAGAAATAAAATTCAAATAAAAATATATAGTTTTTCTCTTGCTAAATATAAAATTAATTGTTTTACATTTACTATATATAAATATTTTTATAATAATAATACAAGAGATTCGATTCGAAATATAAGAAATATTTTGTTTCCCTTATCGCATCTAGAAATACGCAACGCAATAGAATTTCATTTATTTTTATATCCAATAGTTGTGTTGAAATTATAGTTGGAGCTATATCCAAAAAAAAAAATATATATATATATATAGATATGTATGACACTTCATTCAATAAGTTGGTAGGATGACATATAGATGTCGCCAATATTGAGCAATCTGTTTGGTGTAGTTTCAACTATATGCGACATATTAATTATGTTTGTCCGCGGGTCCGTCCGTCTATTCATTGTGTTGTTGACACTATCACGATTACACATGGAGCCATACGCAACAGACTGTGGACGACATCTATATGCCATTCTACGAACTTATTGAATGCTTGAATATAAATATTTAATTATATTTGTCCGCGAGTCCGTCCGACTATTTACTGTGTTGTTGTTGACACTCTCATGGTTACAATTGGAGCCATACCCAACAGATTAATCACTAGTGACGACACACCCGTATGCCATGCTACACACTTATTGAATGATACCTCATATAGATATATACGACAATTTAATTATATCTGCCCTCGAGTCTGTGGGTCTGTTCCTCTGTTCAGTGTGATGATGGCACTCTCGTGATTACAATTGGAGCCACACCCAACAGATTGGTGCTGAAATTTATATGTCATCCTACGAACTTATTGAATGAATGAATATGAATAGGAATATTTAATTGCATTTGTCCGCGAGTCTGTGAGTCTGCCCCTCTATTCATTGTGTTCTTGGCACAATCATGACTACAGCGACTGAGATGGAGAGCTATTATTTGATACAGAAATTTCCATCTAAAACACACGGCCCTTTAGTGTAAAATGTATACAAATATTTTTAGCTTTTGTATCAATTCGATCGAGGCATCGAGCAACAGGAAACCTCGTTCGATCCTTTTGAGAATCAAAGATGTAAAATGTGAAATGTTTTTGGACGCATGTATGCTTGATCTTCTTACTGATCAAATTTCAAAATGCGCCTAAATATATTAACGTATTTTTGTGATTAACTTATGGCTAAGATCGGATAGATAGATAGATAGATAGATAGATAGATAGATAGATAGATATTGATTTCAAGTTTCAAAAAACTTAACATTGAGGTCCTCATAAAAGTGATGACTATGAATGCGTTAAGTAAGAATTAGGCAGAAGCGATTAGATACTCATAATACTTACGATAGGTGTTTTAAGCGAATATAAGATATTTTGTTTTTTAATTTTTTAATACGAAACCTACCTCGACATGTTTTGCAGAGATTTCTGAAGCTAAGGCACATAATTTTATTTGTGTTATTATAAATATTTCTTGTAAATTTTTTATAAGAAAAGTATCTTTTAAAAATCACTTGTTCAATACATTTATGTTTATTTATTTATTTTTTTTTATTTTTTTAAATTTTTTAAAATATTATCTCTGTTAAATATCTAAAGAAACAAACAAAGAAAAGCTGAAGCAAATCAATGCATTTTATGCGTGCGCGCGTCCGTGCGCGCGCTTGTGTCTATGTTGGTTTTCTTAAATGACTTTTCAATATCTCTTCCTAATCCTTGGCCAATGTACGATGTATGCATATTAAATTTAAAACGGATGAAAAAGCAAAAAACAAATTGAAATAAAAAACGTATTCCTTTCCCGTTTATTTATTTACTTTTTCCTGTTTTTATGCGATTTAGCATTTATTCAACCTATCCATCCATATAAGGACGCCTCTTTCTGCATATTGTATACACACCATGCATATGGAATATATATATATATATATATATATGTATGTATGTATATATGTGTACGTATACGTATTTGTTATACTACGTATTCCTGCTGTCTACTTAAAAGACTAAAAATACTTTTTGTTGCTAAAATTAGTTGAAGAAAAATTTTTATTTCCCTTCGCATCAGATAATGAACTCGGCGAAGATTTGAGACATTATTGCAAATTTCATAGCACTTGTTGTTATTGCTTGTGCTTTCATTTGACTTACGTTAAAGCAAGGAAAATAAAGTCCAATGAAAAAATAAAAAAAAAATAAAAAAAAAAAAACATGTATATACATGCACACAACTGATGAAAAAAGTCGTAGAGAAAATGTAGAAATAACGTAGCGTTAGTTAAGCATAAGATCGATAAATTCCAAGTTCCTACTCCTACTGCACTCCTACGTAACATGATTTTTCTTTTCTTTTTTTTTTTTTAAATTATCCGCATTTCAGTCTAACTGAAGGAAGGAATTCGTAAAAAAACATCTCCGCTCGGATTTAAAATTCTGACAGATGTTTTGAAAAAATTCAATAATAACAAGTAACAGTAGTTGGTTAACCTCAAAGTGAATCTTGATTTCTAAGTTCATTACAATGGCTAAGAACCAGTTATACAAATGAGTTTGCTTCAAGGCAATATCAAATTTCAGATTGGTATTTCTTCTACGATAGAGCTCGTGCCCGAGCAGGGTTCCGTTTACTTGGTATAGCGATCGTATATTCTATCGTATTTTGAAAGCGTCAAAAGAGTATATTGAGGTTATACGGAGATGTACAACACCGACAACGACTTGAAATGGACTCGACTTTTAACATACCAGCAATCCAAGCTTATTTACCCATCTTTCCGTTTGTCTGTGTTCGCAATTTTTGAGATCTTTAGTTGAAATTTGATACGTTAAGATGATTTGACCAAAGGACGAACGAGTTGAACAACTACCTTGCCCCCTCCCCATGTAATGCCTGATGTTGAAAAGTCGTTATATGAATACCTTTAGAGTGGTGTAGGGTCGTATTTAATGGTGGGCTGTGTCCCACCATCACAGGCAAATACTTGGGCCAATTAAAATTTTCTTGCACAAGTTGACCTGCTACTCAAAAGATTTTCTTTCTTTATAATAATAAGCAGAGCGTTAGAAAAAGGTCGGGCAGTATTTATATACGTGTAAGCTGAGGATGAAAACATCTTAAATGGGGCGAAAGTTCATTGCAGGTAGGTTATTGCAAAGATGGACAGTGCGGTCAACGACACAAGTCATTATAGTGTGCGCTATGAAGACAACACCAGGGCTAGAGAATGAGAGCTCTGAGCAAGCCAAAAAGTTCTACTAAACAAAGCTACTTTTGTTTGCGAAACAGATTTATTTTTTGGCCTAGAGGTATCTATGCATAAGCGAAACAAAGCTCACAGTATACCGATGTTCAAGGATATTTGCGGCATTAGCCACCGCACCATCACCGTGCATGAGCGCTTGAGTTGAAAGCAAGCCTTGAAAGCTTCTGCCCACGAGGGGTTTGTTAAGTGTTGCGTTAACGTTTAAATTTCTTCTATTGATTTCAAGCGATGCTAATAATTTGCAAAAAAAAAATGTAAAAAAAAAAAAATTATAATCCAATTTTTAACAAGAAGAAGAATAACTTTCATTCTTCCATTGTCTATGCATTGCTAAGATTCGTCTGCATAGGACTTGATGTTAGGGTTTGCCTGCGTTGTTGGCATGATGTTGCTGTTGCACACACGTCACAAGGCGTTTGTTAGATTTTCCAAATATTTGTAAACACGTCGTTCCATGCATTGAGACCCCTATCGGATATATAAATAGTTGACCTTGACTTAACCGCACCAGGTATTCGGCCTATTTACGTTTCGTACGCGAATACAAACGGACTTAAAAATTATGTTTTAAGCAATAGGTTGAGTTTATCTTACCGCCATTCGAAATTCGCATTGAATTGAAAATTCGAAAATCATGCGACTTGTAAACAAAAGATTTCGCTCACAATGGAAATCATTTACAAAGACGGCCGTGTTATGTTTTATGCTTCGACTTGTGCTTGAAACAATGGCCGGCAAAGTGTTGCCAGTGTTGCATAAAATGCTTGTTTCCCAAAAAATAATACACAATATATATATCGATCGCAGATATAATGGGAATATTCAAATTTTCCTCCTAAGTCGAGTATAATTTCTTTCTTTTCTACCAAAAAAAAAAAAAAAAAAAAAAAAAAAAACAAAATCGAAAAAAAAGCCAACAAGTGATGAGTCGTACCGCGAATAATTCGATCTAAACTGCAAATAATTTCTTTCTTTTTTCTATTTTATTTATTTACTTAAAGTTTCATTGATCCATTGCTTCTTGTTCAATGAGATTACAATTGCATTTCATCGATTAGTTATGGTATACGGTGTGGTGTGACTTACGTCAAGAGTACATTTTTTTTTAGTTTTAGTTTTTTTTTTTTTTTTTTGGCAATCGATTCGTTAGAAACTCAAAGAAAAATAAAAATAATTAAAAAAAAAAAAACAATGAAAACAAAAGCAAAAATTAATTTTAAACAGATGTTTGCTTATCGTGAATTAAAAAAAAAATAAAAAAAAAACTTATTGATATTTATTGTTTTCAACAAGTACAAGTAAATCTTTCATAATGTACGCCAATGGAATCTGGATGAAATCAAGTAAAATTTATTTTCGAGCGTATTTTTAACAATAAAATTAAAATCGTGTAAGATTTGAAGAACTGTGGATACACGTATCACTTTCAAATGGCTTTCACTTTCTTAGTGCAGTCTTGAGATCTGAAAAGAGTTATAAAAATGGACGATACTCGAGAACGCATTATATATACATATATATATGTATGCATGTAAAAGACTCAGAATCACTCAAAGGATTCATGTACCTCGATGAACGTTAAAAAAAAATGAGGACAGAGAAAGAGATGAAGAGATGGATACTCAATCGGATGCTCAATTATTATACCTATGACTAAAGCGCTAAGATTTAAACTCGCGAACATTCTCTTGATAGTCGCCACTTAGCTGTTCATGCGGATCGTATATCCCATTTGCGAATATAAAAGTTGTCTTCTCCGCGTACCAACTTAAGAAACTTAATACCCCAGGTGCGAGTGGGCGAGTTTCCCTACGCTGTCTGTATGAATCGATTTACAAATTACGTATATATATATATATCATACGCAATCTCAATTTTTAAATTATTCTCTCAATATTTCAAGAAAAAGAACAGGCGGACGGAATAAGCTCGACTCCAGTCAGAAGGGCTCTGACTTGTGAAAAACACATCACGTTCGTTTCCCAGCCGATATGTAACCGATGTGGAGTAGTAAAAAATCGATCTCTCCAGTTACATATATTTTCCCCATCCTTCTTTCCAACCTATGCATAGGATATAGAAAGAGAGCTTTTTAGCTTTAATTTTAACGCCTCGACGGCACCTCTCTCTGGTATTAAAAAGCCAAGAATATATTTTTTAGCGTAGACAACTAGAGAAATATCTAAACAATAAGCAAATTTTTTATTTACTTCTTAGGGCGTTAGAAATGAAATACATAAATAAAGTAAAACGCTTTCTTCCACGTTAGACACGATCGGAAAGAGGGAATCCAATTATCGAATATTCGCCATAAGATATTAAAACTTATATCCAACTGGCGGTTATAGTTTTATATTATTAATTTTTTTTTTTTTTTTAAGAATTAATTTCATTCTTAATCAATATTAGATGAGATTTTCGAAATCTTTCGAAAACTGTAAACTAAATGATAAAATTAATATATCTTGCTGGAGATTAGGGGTGAATATAAGAAGAAGACAAAATGCTCTTTAGAATAAAGTGAAAAACACATTTTTATGAATATTTTGGCTTTTAATTTATAATAATAAATTATAATAAAAGCGCTTTGTAATCGGATTTGCTTTAAAACATTAAAACGAAAAAAAAAACAAATTTTTTTGAAACTTAATGGAAAATACAAGAGAATCAAGTACAGTCGCGTCATATGTCATTGCCAGATAGAATAGTTGATAAAATTTATAAAAAAAAAAATAAAAAAATCTTTTTGTTAATGTAGCATAACAAGTACAGTGAATTATATGCACAAACAATTATAGAGATTTAGTAAACTTAATAAAACATTTTTTATACCCGCATCTTTGAAGGATGGACGGCCACTTTCCTAATGATTTTCTTTTCTTTTCTTTTTTTTTTTTTGTCCTAAATCTCAGTAATCAGAAGATCTATGAAATGTGAGCGCCTTGCTTTGAGAGTCATTGCATCTGGTTGTCAGTCGATGTTTTATTCAAATTGTTAAAGTCTCATCACTTGGCTGAAGATAAAGCAGTCAGTAGATGTCTCAACAATGTTTTCGATTTCAGTCAGTGGGACTTTCAACGCAGTGGCGCCCATGTACATTTAATTATGATGTGAACGCTTTCACATGTGACTCATTCATTCATTCATTCATTCATTCATTCATTCATTCATTAACTCTAAATCAATATCAAATGCATTTAGTTTTATCTTTTCTATGAAATTTTGTTAATTTACGGATGTCCGAGAAGAATAGATCCAACACACGTATACGTACTTGCTATCAAGCACGTACAAACATATGTACGATAACATAGGTTAATTGTATTGAAAATTGTGCACCAATTCAGAGGGTGTTTCAAAGAGATTGTGCAGAGCGCATAAGTCCTTCTCTTTCCCCTCCTCCCTTCCCCCGGCACTCATCATCAAAAAAAAAAATTCTTATAATCGCATGCGATTTTCTCATTTTCTCATTTCATTTGTGTGCACGTAACTTGCCGTTACGACTTATTAGCATGAATCTTGTCTGCTCATCATCGTCTACTCGCTATATACCATGTATTATATTATAAGAAGAAGATTAAGAAACACATTTTTCGGAATAGTTGATGAGATCTATCTTGTATTATATTGAGATTGCCCTTGAAAAAATTGAATATGTCTTCGTTAGGATTAACGTTAAATACCTAGAATGAATTTCCTTCCTTCCAATCAAAATCGACTTTCGGGATCATGATTTGGAAAGTTTACACTTTTTTCTTTGAACCCCGTTGAATTACCCTAGGGAAAGAACGGGGAAAGACCTCGAGTCAGAAGAGCGCAGTTTACTAGAAGTGTTTAATGCCATAAACCGATATCACTCAATGATAGGCTAAGCGTAGCAAAGCTAGTCCAAAATAAATGTCAATTAATGCCTTAAAAAGAAGAAGAACATCTACAAGTATTTGCAAACTAGAACAGTTTAGAATAATGATCATGCGACAAATGGACGGGGATTTTAAATGAAAGCTGCACTGAACTAATCCTCTATATTCATTTATGTATATTTAATTCTTCTTCTTCTTTTTCTGCTTGTTTTGCAATTCAGTAAATGAGCAACGAAAATTTTACTCAGTGCTCAGCAAAGTGAAAAGGTTCAATGCGTACACAAAGTTCTTTATTTGAACCTTAATAAAGTTATTTAATTAATTAATCTTTTCTTCGTTGTCTAAGTTATATGCTAAAGTTATCTGCGATTCGGCCAATGACAGCTTAAAAACTTTTGTATTACGCTTACGATAACAAAGTTTAAATCGAACCTAATAGGACTACGTTTTTTCCTAAAGCATTGGTAACCATTTCGTAAGCATCCCGCTTATGTCTATCATGCTATAAAGTTTTTATTCAGTTCTCTTGTATTATTGCCATAGAAGCATTGCCAATTAATTTGCGGCGACTCTTTTTCACTTCAGTTATTCGATTATTTTTTTTTTGTAAAGCTAAATGTATTGCTAATGGTATATATATACGCTTTGGGGCTTTAATGTGATTTTAAAGAAATTTTGTGACAAAAAACAAAAATAATAAAATTAATAAACGTGTGAAATATGACTCGTAGAAGCGTAGACTTTGACAAATGACCTAACCTAAAAAAAAAGAAAGTAGTACAAATGAGAAGCTTTGTATTAATCGCTTAAGAATATTTGCAAACCTCGCGATTATATTGCATGCGATTTATAAAAATTAATCAAGATTCCTACAAGCGACAGGGATCTCGATAAAACATTTAATAAACGCGCTTTTCATTTTCTCTTCTTCTTCTTCTCGGGTTAAGACATTTTCCTCATTATTTCAAGCAATTGAGTGCAGACATCGTTGTAAGGTTTAGGACATGTGAACATCTATATATGTGAGAAACACTGTCTAGTCTTAACTTTTGAAAGGCTCCACAAAAAAAAAAAAAAAAAAAAAAAAATTTGGTATTGGATTTTCAAGCGTTGTTGTTTTTTTTTCGCGACAAACGACGATCTTTATTATCTTATGATTATTGGGCGTGATGCATATTCTTACATGTTTCTCTTTTTCTTATTTAAATTAAAAATGCATTGATTTGCGGTATTTTGTTTTCGGGAACTATTTACAATTATTTTGCGTTTCTTTTTTGGTACATTTTTCCTTTGTTCTACAGGCGAAGCGGTTTTCTTTTTTGTTTTTTGCTTTGGTTCTTTTTTTTTTTTTTTTTTGTTTTTTTTTTTTGAACACAAATTTTAGCAATAATAAAAAATGGAAATTTCACATTTATTCCTCTGCTCTACGTTTGTGATCATCACGCAATTAAACATTTCATCACAATTTCGGTTAAAAATTCTCATAATTAATTCACACACTAATAGGATACGAAGTGAAGTAAATTATTGCCATTCATTAATGATTATTTCAACACTTTCGCTTTTCATTCACATTAGCATAAATGAATGATGATGATGATCAAGCGGCAGTAAATATCGTATAAAAAGAAAAATTCCAAAAGCACTCTTTGCAACAATAACAGAAGAAAAAGAACGTCTGGTTACTAAGCATTTATGTATGTATGTACGGATAGTACATTAAAAAAAAAGAAAAGAAAAGTGCGTTACGATATGTAAAAAGAATAAAACAAATAAAAAAAAAAAAAACAATAAAAATAAATAAATAAGAAAACAACAACAAAGGAAGAATTAAATGAGAAGAAATGAGAACAGAAACCGTTTAACGGAATCAAATGACAGAACACAACTGAAGAAGATCGCGCAATTTGAAAATCGCTAAACAGCGTTGAGGCGGCATTAACCGATTCAACGACTTATTCTGTCCAATTGATTGTACAATATACGGCAACAAGATCAATGAGCAAAAGCAAAGCCAAGCAAAGCAAAGCAAAGATGATGATGATGATGATGATGATGATGATGATGATGATTGTTGAGGCATCGCGTTTAACAAATGTGTGCAGAGATAGAGAAATTCTTTAAATGAATAAGAAGAAAATAAACAAAGGGAATCCATTTAGAACTCAAATGAACTCTTTATGGAAATTATAATTCGCGAGAAGAGGTAAAGAGTGCGGTATTACTATATTGCGTCTGTATTATGTACCATTTGTTGCTCTTTTTGGCACTATGCCCAGCATGAACTTAATAAATAACCTCAAAGTGTCCATAGAGAACGAAATTAAGAAAAGGGGGAGATGTGCACACAAATAAGACGCCATAGCATTTATGTAACATTATAGGCCAGTTGAGAAAAAAAAAAAAAAAAAACACGCAAAAAAAAAAAAAAAAAAAAAACATTAAAAAAGTAGGCGAAATTTGTTTTGTTAATTAATTTGAATATTAAGCGCGAATTTTCAAGCGAATCTTTTCGATATCCGTTATCTGTCTACAAAAGATCGATTTACATCAATCCGTCCGTATTCAAAATTATCAAAGAATATGTAAACAACACTACTAATAATGTTTAACGTTTTACACATATGCATATATATATATATATATAAGGCAAATAACTGATATTCTTATTTAAGGTAGGTGAGGTTATTACCGGTCTAAACCCTTTGCGTGTTGAATTGTTGTAGACCAACGCCCAATATAATTGAAAATTTTCAATTGATTTTCAATGATTGTCTTTTTTACATTACAGTCTACTTCATAAGGTGCATTGTTCTGCGTGCATCAAGGAGCAGAGAAGACATTTGTAACTTAGCGAAACACGTGCACATTGTGCCTGAGGATGAATAGCGAAATTGCTGCAGGCAATAACTCTCTGTCTGTCCAGCTGTCCGACCCCACATCACGTGTATATTAAGTGTATCCTCGATAAGCGTGAACAGCGAATCTGTTGCAATAATAAAAATCTTTGTCTACGAATAATTCGAAAGTGTTATACATTCTTGTTTAGCGCGGATGTAGAGATAGATGTAACCGTGTCTACTTGCCACTCTCTCTCTCTCTCTCTCTCTCTCTCTCTCTCTCTCTCTCT